GTTTATGGCAACCCCGAGCTGAGAGCCCACGCCTCGGCTCCGTCTCTGCAGCCGGCTTCCCCGCTCCGATACCTGGGAGCTCTGCCGCACTCAGGCACCCCTGGTCTTTCTGTGACCCCAAGGGTCATGAGACCACAGTGCCCCACGAGGGTTCCACCCCCAGCTTAGCCACTGCAGCGATGTCCCTCAGCGGAGCCGACTTCTCAAAGTTCCGATTTTGTGCTCCGCGGCTCTATCACTTGCCAGAAGCGGCCGATGGAGGCCCCCTCCCCCGCTGTCTATCCTCCCGAATATCGCCTGGGATTCACTTCTCCGCACGTCCTACCTTCCAGTAAGTGGTCACTTTTTTGTTCAGAGAGTTGTTGCTATTCTTCTCTTCGATCTCCTGTTGAGTTTGTAGGTGTTCAGAATGGTTTGATCCCTATCCAGCTGAATTCCTGAGACCAGATGAAATCCAGGTCTCCTACTCCTCCGCCATCTTGCTCCGCCACCCTGTATGGTAGTCTTAATTTTATAAGAAACTGCCAAGCTGTTTTCCAAAGTGGTTGTACCATTTTGCATTCCCTCCAAAGTGTATTGAGTGTTGTTCTACATCCTTGCCAGCCCACGATTCTCTCTCTCTCTTTTCTTTAAGGCATTCCACTAAGTATGGAGTTGTATCTCATGGTGGTTTTAGTTTCATTTCCCTAATGACTAATGATGTTGAGTATCTTTCTCTGTGCTTTTTGCCATCGATATATTTTCTTTGGTAAAGTATATGTTCAAATCTTTGGTTCATTTTTTATTTTTATTTTTATTTATTTATTTATTTATTTATTTTTACAGATTTTATTTATTTATTTGACACAGAGAGAGAGACAGCCAGAGAGGGAACACAAGCAGAGGGAGTGGGGAGGGAGAAGCTGGCTTCCCGCCGAGCAGGGAGCCCAATGCGGAGCTCAATCCCAGGACCCTGGGATCATGACCCAAGCTGAAGGCAGACGATCAATGACTGAGCCACCCAGGCGCCCCTTTGGTTCATTTTATAAATCTGTTATTATTTATTGTTGGGTTTTGAGTTTCTTTGTAATTTTAGATACAAGTGCTTTATCAGATATGCGATTTGTAAAAATTTTCTCCCTGTCATGGCTTTCAAAGAGCAGACATTCTTAATTTAGATTAAGTCCAGTTTATTTATTTGTTCTTTCATTGTGCTTTTGGTTTGTATATAAGAAATCATTGCCTAACTGAAGGTCACAAAATCTTCTTCCATTTTTTTGGTCAAATTTTAGAATTCTAGGTTTTATATTTATACATGTGATCCATTTTGAGAATTTTTTGGTACAGTGTGAGTTTGGATAAAGGTTTTTGTTTTGTTTTACTTATCTGTTTTTTGCCTATGGGTATCCCATTGTTCCAGCGTTATTTATAGTTGGAAAGACTTTTCTTTATCCACTGAATTGACTTTTTGCCAACAGGCCCTATATGTTTAGGACTATTTCTGAATTCTTTTTTTCATTCCATTCTTTTTCATGTTTATTCTTTCTCCAACACCGCTCTTTTGATTACTGTAGCTTTATACTAAGACTGGATGTGAATCTTCTAACTCAGAAGAAAATGTGTATTCTGCTATTTTTTTGTGGTTTTCTCTTAATGTCAATTATGTTAGCTTAGTTAATACTATTCATGTCTTCTGTACTTGGTAACAATTTGTCTACTTGTTCTGTCAATCACCGGGAGGTGTGTTGAAGTCTCCAGTTGTATTTGTAGATTTGTCTTTTTCTCCCATCAGTTCTGTCAGTTTTGGTTCATGGACTTTGAAGCGCTGTTGTTAAGTGCATACACATTTACGTTTGCTATGTCATTCTGGAAAAGTGACCCCTTCATCATTAAGTAATGTCCATTTTTATACTCATTCTGAAGTCTGGCTGACATGTTATTGATATAGCTTTTTCTGCTTTCTTTTCATTAGAATTTGCATAGTATCTCTTTTCTGTAATTTTATTTTTAGCCTTTATATTTAAATGGGCTTATTGTATACAGCAAATAATTTGATCTTGATTTTTCAATCCAATCTGATGATCTCTATTTTTAATTAATGTGTTTATAAAAGTTTATAGTCAATGTAATTACTACTGTGATTGGATTAAAATCCAACATACTTTTAGCTATTTTATTTTTTAGTCTTTTGTTTCTTCCTCTCTCACATTTCATTTTTGATTATTCCATTTTAGCTCCATTATTGATTTTTTTATTACTGCTTTTTCAAATTATTTTATTCATTGCCCTAGGTTATACAGTATACATTTTTAGTTAGTCTACTCTTAGATAATCTCATAATACTTAACATGTAGTATAAGAATCCAACATTATTTTCCCAATTTCTACCCCAATCTTTGTGCTATTATCATACATTTTACTTTTACATATGCTATAAACACAATGCATTGTCAATAGTTTTGTTCTAGGTAGTTATCTTTTGGGCAGCTAAAATAAAGTTGAATTTTATATTTACCTCCATTTATTCCATTTCTAAAATTCTTTATTTCTTTGTGTATATGTTATGTCTTACCAAAGTTTTTAAAAATGCATTGAAATTTTTCTTCTCTATTAGCACAAACACCACCAGTCCCTGCCTTCTCCTGACTCTGTTAAAAATGGATTGTGAATAGGCAGCTAGGAATATGTTTGATTTTAGAATTCTTTTGTTGCTTACTTAGAATTTCAGAACCACAGGATTGAATGTGTCGTAAGAGTCCTTTGGCCTAATTTTCAAAGTGTGACAGATTTACTTCAACTGATCTTATTTTAAGATTTATCTAAAGTTCTCTTTCTGAGGTTGTAACTTAAGCCTCCTTGGTCTATGGGCTTCTGTCTCTATTTCATTTTCCTGCTGTTGTGTGAGGAAAGGGATCATCAGGACCACACTGTCTGCTTTTTAATGTTCTCCTTTTAGTAACCTCACACATGTATGAAGACAGTTCCTGAGCCCCTTCTTGCCATTCCCCTTTGCAGGTAAAAAACATTCTGTACTTCTTTGAGTTTTTTTTATAGAAAGAGAGATCTACTTTTCCTCTATATGTCTTTAACCATTTCTATAATATTTTCTCCTGCATATCTCACATAATTATTTTTGTTAGGGCATATGTAAATAAATGGTAACAGTGTTCACCAAGATGAAAGAGCCAGCCAGAATCTCTGTGGGGCTAATGTTGGCCCTGGGAGAATGCCAGGGCACCAAATGAATTGGTGTAAATTTATAGGGTCCCCTGTTCCTTTGCCAAGTAGTGCTCACTGTCCTGACCCTTATAGCCCCATGCTGAACTTAAACCCTCTCCCTGAAGCCGTATGGCTAATTTTACTCCAGACACATACCTTTAGGAAAGCTCAGGGACTCCGAAATTTGGTGGATGTTGTCCAAAACCTGTGTTCACCTGAGGACACAGGTTATTCCAGAGGCTACTGAATGGAGCAGCCCTGGGCATGTTACTTGTGTAGGGATGGGCCAGGAGGAAAAGAACAGACTGGAAAACCTAGAACTTTTCTGAGCAAACTGTATTCAGTTGTGAGAAAAAAAATACAATTGGGCTGGTTCCTATAGTAGAACTTATAAACATTTGTCAGTTATGAGGGTAACTGCAAGACTTATTTTCAAGCTTTCCCCTTGATTTCAGGTTCAGAGCGTAACATTTTCTTTTTGTCTTTTTCCCCCTCAAGGGGTGCTACATCCATTGTGTACAGATGCAAACAGAAGGGGACCCAGAAGCCTTATGCTCTCAAAGTGTTAAAGAAAACAGTAAGTTTATTTCATTATATAACAGCATCTCTAAGGGATCTGTGACCTGGAGAAGCCAGGAGCCCTGATTCACAGGACAGAGAGGCCAGAGAAATGCTGTGTGCAGCTAACTCACCTAAATCCTGAGTATGAGAGTGCAGCCAAATGGGTTGTTTTCTGATGGAAACTGCGTGACTCTTTGAAAGCGACTGGATCTCAGGCTGGATGTGGTTGTGGGGAGAAGTGTGGTAAGGAGAAACCTTTAGAGCTAGCAGGTCAACCTGGTATACTTTGTATACCAGTCATGTTTTCAGCTATATATGTGTACAGCTATAGAATCTCCAATCACAGTTTAATATACTAGAAATGCTTGCTGTTTAAAAAAATACCTAAATGAAACACAAATAGCTTGTGAAAGGAGTCATCAGCTTCTAACTTGTTGGGTTTGCTTCAGTGAAGTGCAACTAGACAAATGCTGTTGTTTCTAGGACTGAGCCTGCTCATTTAAGATGTCTCTGTTTGAACAAGAAGGAAGGATTGGGTTTTCATATTGCTTCTGTTTGCCATATACTCGTAGGTGAGCCAAAGGGGCAAAGTTATTCAGGCTCATCTCCAATGAGTAAGAAGTGCAGCAGGTAAGAGTTCACGATAGAAATGGCAGCATCTAACACCAGCATTCATGGTAGTCCCTGCATCCCAGAGAGGGTTTGTCACAGCAATGCACAACTACTCTTTGCCTTGAAAGAGTTGCCCTTTATAAAACCACAAAAACACAACATAATCTTTTATAGCACATTCTTCCTTTCTAAATTCTGTGGGAACACATATGTGAAATATATATACTTCTGAAAGTAAAGTATGCTGAGGAGAGAAATAATATAAATTTTGAAATCAAATGATACCTCTTTTAGGACAAGGGATTTTTTTTTTCCTAATATCACCAGTTGTTTATGTATTGTCTGGCACAGGGAAATTTTAGAATCTCATATAATGAAGAAGAGAATAATGGCATGCGGTTTTCAATTGAGTAAAAGTAGAATGACATTTTGAAACAATCTGTTAGAATTTAAAGCCAGAGCAAACTAACACAGACAGTTTAATTGAAGAATAATTTAATAATTTAAATGGCAGTTGCTACTAGAAACCCCATATTCTAGATTTCCTATTTGGTGTAGGCAATGATTTAAGTTACTCCAGAATGTAAGGAATCTTTTGATTGATAAAGTTTGGAATTTTCTCTTAAATCAATTTCTTATAGTCATAACATTTATTTGAACTAAGGATTATTAAAATTTTATGAAATGGAACTTCCAAGTAAATACCTACTTTTTAGGAAAATAAGTTGGCGTGCTTTAGCAGTGGTCACACAAGAGATGTTTTTGGACTTCATTTTATCCTTTGTTGCTGGTTAAAAAAAAATTGTCAGTAAAATTTGTGAGTGGTTGTTTTGTTTTCATAGTTGAGGAAACTTTGAAAGGGACTAGCTGTATGAATGTCTAGGAGAAGAAACACTTAGAAATGACATGTGAATGCTCAGAATCCCAAAGGACAAAGGGCTGGTTTAGAAAATATTGGTTTATGCCAAAAATCTTTGGTTGAATTGGAATAAGAGACAGGAATACATTTGGTGGGTTCGTGACTCATTCATTGGGAAAGTAAAGCTCTAGTTTGCCCTTGCTGTCTTCTCTTCTCCACCTCTGTTGTGGAAACATCTTCCTCAGAAGACAGGCAGGAAGAAAATGTGGACGGGAACCAAGTGTCAGATGGAGCTGCAGAGCGGTGCTGTAAGGCTGATGTTGTCAAACACAGTTACTGCTGTGCCAAATGGAATGAGAGGAAATCCCCTGGAGAAACCCAAGCTTTGAACGTGAATGGGGTGGGATCTCCAGCATTGTCTCCTAGAATAAACCATGCACAGAGATGTGTAAATGAGAGAAATAGGCGGCAAAACCTCAAAAAGCAGTTGCCTCCAGTGTTTCATTTCATATAGGTCATGAAGGCAGAAATTCCTTATCTAAATGAAATGAATGAAGCCTACGAATCTCTTTACGGAAGAAAAGCAAAGCAAGGAAAACAAAGTATTTTCCTAGTGAGTTCCGTTAAAGATCTGTTCTTTCAGGGAAAAGGGGGCTTTAGAAATTGAATTATTTGGGCGCCTGGGTGGCTCAGTTGGTTAAGCGACTGCCTTCGGCTCAGGTCATGATCCTAGAGTCCTGGGATCGGGTCCCACATCAGGCTTCCTGCTCAGCGGGGAGTCTGCTTCTCCCTCTGACCCTCTTCCCTCTCGTGCTTTCTATCTCTCATTCTCTCTCTCTCTCAAATAAATAAATAAAATCTTTAAAAAAAAAGAAATTGAATTATTTATGTAATATATTTATTAGATTGAGCCACAAAAAACTGCCTCTCTTAAATCATTTTTTTACCTACAAAAATGGCAGTTTGACGTGATTCAACTAATAACTTTGGGACCACTATGCTACTTCATTGGATAATTCCTCGAGTCCTCATTTTATGACTAGACCTAAACCTAAAAGGTTTGAAAGATTGTCTATCTGTCTGTCTGTCTTTCTGTCATCAGCTGTCTGTAAGAATTTCCTGGGTCTGGTGTAATAAACCACCACAAACTGGGAGGCTTAAAACAATGGAAATTTATTCTCTTATAGTTCTGAGGCCAGAAGTCTGAAATCAAGGTTTTGTCAGGGTCGATTCTCTCTGAGAGTGCTCAGGGAGAACTTGTTCCATGCTCTCTCCTAGCTCATGGTGACAGAAGCTTGCCCTGCAGATGGGTCACTCTAATCTCTGCCTCCGTTGTCACATGGCCACCTTCTCCCTATGTGTCTGCATCTCATCTTTCCTCTGTGCATTGTCTGTGTCCAAATTTTCCTCTTCTTAGAATGACACCATTCCTATTGGGTTTGGGACTGACCCTACTCCACTATGACCTCATCTTAAATGAACTCATATCTACAACAACTCAATTTCCAAATCACGTCACTTTCAGAAGTACTGCTGGTTAGGACTTCAACATATCTTTTTGGGGGGGACACAATTCTGCCCATAATACCATCTATAAGAGAAGACTTCCAAGGTGAATTTCAAAATATGCCATTCAATATTTTATCTGAAGATAAGTGAAACTTACATCACATTCAAGAAAGTTAATAAACCTAAGAAAACTCATCCAGTTTATAGGTGATTAAATTCACATATGAACATTTTTAAGTTCAAGAAAGATTTCCCATCTCTTTTACAGTCAGTTATTTGATAACAATAATCTTCTTTCCCAGGATCTGTTTAAATACTTTTTCAAGATAGTCTACCCAAATTTTATTTTGTGGCAATGTTATGTCCTTTCTCATTGCTTAATATTTGAGGAAGGATTTGGTTTACATGTGGCAATAAGAAACTCCTAATTCTTCACTGAGAATCCATTAGGCACTCACATATCTGGGTGATAGACAGTGACTCTAATTTACCCACAGGAAGACAGACTAAAGCACCAGCCCTCATGGAGAAATCCATTATCTCTTTGGTTGTCAGGTACAGGACGGAGTTAATACTGAAAATAAACACAAATTGTCATGTTTAGACAATTGAGTATTTTGACTAATAAAATATCTGTATGGGAAATTAACATGTAATTATAATAAAAATATTTTTAATTGCCAGATATTTTATATATGGATATAATACCATGTACTTTATATATATAGATAATGACATTTCATAGAACTAGTATACATTAAAATACATATTAACCAAGGTAATAATGCCTGCAACTTACTTTCAGATAGTTAAGCAACAAAGAAGTGTGTGAGTATGTGTGTGTGTATATGGGGAGAGAAAGAAAATATGGCAAAAATCAACAATTATTGAATATAGGACAATATACTAGCATCCATGCTGGTATCTCAACATTTCAGTATATGTGAAAATTCTTATAACCAAGAATTTGGGTTAAAACATACTTCAACACTGATATCCTATTTATCATAGCTTAGCATTTCTTCTGGCCATTCAAAAAGCATTTCAAAATCTTGCAGTTTCTAAATGTTATGATAAACACCAGTGACTGTCTCTATTATAGATGTATTGAAGTGCCAGAAAACAGAACATTATAGTTGAACCAACCCTTTACCCGAAAACCTGGACATTTAGAGAAGCAATATCTATTCATCTCATTGTGTCATTAATCAAGATAAAGCTTTGAGGACAGTAAGAGTAAACAAGAGAGGAATGAAAGGCTTTTGTGATCATGTGTTTGTTTAATTTTTTTCCGCTAGTATTCATGGTCCTCGTACTGAAGTAGTCCTCATTTCTCTTGGAGTGGCATCCATACTGTCTTCCTGGGAAAAAGGTGGCCAGTTTCATAACTTTAATTTTGAAACAAGTACAGATTGACAGGCAGTGCCATTTTGGTCACCCGTAAGTTCTTTATCGCCTTGCATACATCAGTGGAACTTGTACCGTGATTGCATGCATCAGTGGAACTTGTACCGTGAACTTTTTAAAACATGAATCAAGGGTGAAGGGCACAAGGCTAACTTTTTTTTCCCTTCATTCATGAGCCCTTTATCATCTCCATTTCATGTGGTACTTCGAAGAAATTGAAGTAGAGGAAAAGGATTTACTAAACTACTTCCTCAGATTAACAACTTTGGGGCATTAAAAGATTCTAACAGACACAGCTATTAGGACAAGCCGTGATTTAGAAGATGGAAACTTTTCGGGGGGGGGTGGTAAATTGTAATTTTTTTATTGGAAAACAAATATACAACTTGGAATGGATTTGAGGCAAATTGTGCCATAAGCAGATTTTCTATAAGTGGCTAAATAAAGTTTAAAAGCCAGGAACAATAAAAGAAAATGTTTCTGGTACTGGACCAGCAGTACAAAAAAATAGTGTACGAGTACCTGGATAATACACCCGTTTTGCAATAGTGCAACTTTTAAGTGCATATTGTTGACTGTCCATAGTCCACACAGAGTTACAATGCCACACTTCAACAACATGCTGACAG